GCATGTGCTCAGAAGGAATTGAGTGAGATTGCAGGCTCTTAGCTCGAAGTTGGCTATGATCAATGGTAGATATTCGACGAAGCGAGGAATCCTCAAAAGGAACAATTGGCCAAGACGCTTCTGTTGCCTGGTCATCTCTTGCGCCCTCCGACCTAACAATGTCGGGTCCTGACATGATACAAGAGTTCTTGCCTCGATTGAAACTGTGCGCGACCGCCTTACGGGCTTGGGAACAGGCAACGTGAGATCTCACCGTATCAGTACAAATTGGAGTTAACTGAGGCTGAAAAGCCTGGCTGCAATTGTGCCTGATGAGAGTGGTCTGCGAGGCATCAAATTCTCGAGTTGAAAGACGAATAGGCTCACGGTAGACGATCATTCTAACACAGGAATCCTGTAGTTGTGATAAGTATCGCTTGGCCTTAGCGTGATCTACTCTTAACAGTAGAGTGCCATTAACCTAAAATACGTAAACCCAGTGTAATATATTGAGTGAATGAATGTATGTCAGACAATGTAAGTTAAGAAAAAATGGAATAGCCGAATAAATGCGATTAAAAAGGAAGAAGAATAACATACAGGAAAGTAAATGAGTCTTAATTAACTTCTCCTGAAAGGTCATTTCGTATGAATGAGATTAAAAGATTTGTGAATCAAGCTAGCCTAAAAAACGAAGGAATATTTCCCTTTGTCTGGTGTTGCTGAAACTTCTCGACATGCTTGAGTCATCAAAGCAACTAAGACACTGCCTGTCCATTATAAAGAAAAAAAGTGGCGGGCTTACGTTTGTCAGATCACGGAACTGGAGATTATGAATCTCAACAACCAACCAGACACTTTCACGAGAAATGCAAGTCAGCCCTGAAATATTTATCCTCAATAAACATTTCTGTGAGAATTAAGTCACTTTAAATTATCTTTTTAGTAAGTGGGTAGGACCCAGAATGACACAGAATTTCATTTTATATTGCTCCGAATAAGGTTTCCACATCCCGTCTAGATTGGCATTTTAAGCAACGTCTTCTCATCACCAGCGTGGATACAGTTGGAGACCATTACGCTACACCTTCAAGAGTGTTGGTGCATCTCACAGAGCAACTAGGACTAGGACTATAAGCTTCTATAATGGGCTTGCAGATGATTTGCCAGTACAACCGACGACGACACTTATTCTCGATAATAGTAATCTTCAAAATTAACCGAAAATCTTCAATATTAGTCACGATTCCAGCTTATTTTAGATTGGGAATAATTCCACAATCACTGCTAAAATCAAGTTAGGCGAGCAAATGTGATTTGGCTCTTATTAAAAGGATGCCAGCAACAAACAGAGATACGTACTTACATTATATGAGATGGAAACGTCAAGTCTACTTACATCATTGTGGGAAAATTCAACTACCAGTCCTTCATTATCTCAAACGAAATAGAGTGAATACATCTCATAGAACTAATTTACTGGTAGTCTCACAACTCTGCTTATTAAAAAAATTTGAACTGGCAATAAAGACTGGTGGGTTGGGTGGTTTGGGTGGCTTCACTTGTGGCGAGGCAAGATTAGATTAGCTCATAAAAGCCTATATCCGCCGCATTGTGACGAACCAAAGAAAAATGTTCACGTGAGCAAGGAGGCATGCATAAATTTATGTATTCAACTTTAACTAATGTCAACTGTGCAAATACTCATGAAACTGGAGAGTGGAGAGCTGTCGGCTACAGCGGTAGTAGGGAATAGGTTCTATCTAATAGAAAAAGTCTGATGTAAGGACAACTGTGCAGTGGTCGGTTTGTCGACATAAAGTGCATACTGTGACACTTCAAAGGTTAAAAAGAATTCGTGAAATGGTCCCATTGGAAACCGCAGGCTTGCCGCGCAGTGAAGATTGATGGATTGTGCGAAGATGTCCTCGGCTCACCATCCTACGATGCCGATAAAGCTATGCTAAGCTTTCATCTGTACCTTCTTGATAGACATAATAAGAGCGAAAATCCGTACTTTACAAAATAGCGCAAAAAATATACTAAGCCAATAGAAAAGGTGGCCGGTTGCAACCCTAGCCATTTTTTTCTACTCATTTCCTTGCGATCTTAATGAGGCATAATTTGATTTGGTTGGTTACCTCAAACGAACTCGAAGGCTTGGAGATAGGTGAAATTAATTCATGAACCGTAAGTGGATTCGGTGGCAGGTGTTTGTTTACAGAAATAAATAAATTAGCATACGACTTTCTAATGTTGATTCATGTGTGCTATCGTCCGTTGTGTATGTAATGTCAATTTCATGAGAGGTATGATAGTCCAAATTGGACTAGAAACAGGTAACCCAACGTTTTTCGCAAGCTGACAGGAAGGCAAAATCAGGAACCTAGTCGAGTGATCAATCTATTCATTCCGACT